TCCTCGTGACCTCTCACCCAGTGTGAGCTGACCTTCTGAACAGAACACAGCAGAAAGGACGGGAAGGCACTTGTGAGAGGCAATAGAAAAGAGGCTGTACTCATGTGTTCTGTGTACCCCTTGTGCTCACTCACAAGGATTCCACCTGCCATGTCCTAAACTCCCCTGTGGAGAGCCCCTTGCTAACCTGGCAGTAGGGACCGGAGCCCTCACTCCATTGCCCTTGAGGAATGAGTCCTCCCAGTACCCGAGTGAGTGAGCTGGGGAGTGCTCATCCCCGAAAAGCCTTCAGATGTCACCATGGCTGTGGTAACATTCTGGTGTTGGTGGGGCATGTGACAGGCGGAGAGATAGAGGCATAGAGCTCAGCCTTCACAACAGTACTGACCCAAGAGTGAGTGAAAGTAATGTACTGGGTTGTTAAAGTTTGTTTTCTTTGCAATGCAGAAGTGGAACACAAGTAGTGTTCTAACACTAAGGTGGTGGGTTGCCTCCCTTGGTTGAGGCCTTTGGATTTGGAGTCACCTATGTCATCTTCTATATGACCACCAATTGATTGGGTATCTTGGAAACCTAACTGGTTGGTTGATTGCAGTACTAGGGATTGAGCCCAGGGGGCGCTGAGTTGCACCTCTCCAGAGTAGGGTACTTGCTGAGTTTTCTACACTGGCCTTGAATTGAGTTTTCTACACTGGCCTTGAATTTGCCATCCTCCTGCCTCAGCTTGCATTGACAGTTATGCACCACCACATTTAGCTGATTTTGAGTTCTGAGGCAGGCACACAGAGAAAGCACTGCAGCATGTTGTATCTGAAATGCGGGCTGTCCTGATCTTGGAAGACCCAACATGCCAGAGAGGTACACGGCAAACACCAAGAGACCCCAGGCTCTGGAGTGAGTCTAGGTCTTCCGCTGCGCAGGATCACGCGCCATGCAAGGAGAGCCATGTGGCACTGGCCCTGCAGACACTGAGACTCTGACCATTGGACCTCCTATGGACAGGTGACTGGAGCTGCCCCTCATTATCCATGATGTCATAGTGTTTCAGTGTGTGTTAGCAACCCACTGGGCAATGAAAAGCTAAATTATTTTTCTTGACTTTTGACAGTCTTGTCGTCAGCAAGTGCGATGGTCCATACCCATATTTTTTGTCCTTGAGAGGCTGAGGCAGGAGGACATTAAATTTGAAGACAGTCTAGGCTACATAGTGAGTTCACAGCCCACATGGACTCCACGGTCAGACTTTTTTCTCAAAAATAGTGTTGTCTTCTTAGGTACATAGCCAATTTCTGTGGACTGCTGAATATAATACAAAAGCACTTACAAATGGGGGCCTGGGATATCACCTTCTAGAGCTTGCCTTTCTTCTCCTAGCTGGCTCGTGATGCCACTAATACCTTCTCACTCCTACAAATGTAATTTCAGAAACTGAGAGGAAATTTAAGAAGATCCACAGTCCCAAGTCTACTTTAGTTTAAATTGACCCATACTTGTATGCCTTCCCCAGTCCAAATCCAAGTATAAGGCCGATTCTCCAGCCCACTGACCCCAAACCATCTAGAATCTCTGTGCTGGACTTAAGCTTCTCAGCTGGCACTTCCAGAACCCACTGATCCTGGAGTGAAAAATCACCCTAGTGTCAGACTAACATTACTTGCCTTCTTTTCCTTGTGGGTATGGCATTGTGATATTTTACATCTAAAGCACTACTCTTATTCCTTACACCAGATCTTCTTTGTCTGTCTTTTCTTTCTTTCTCTCCCACAGGAAGAATGAGCCCAGAATTATTTCCTTTTCCAATACTGAGGATGGAACTCATGGCCTCACACATGCCAGGATGAGCTAGCTACAGCCCTACTACTGCTACAGAAGGAAACAGTGAGTGACACACAAAGAGGCAGCAGAATGGAAGTAAAATAACAAATGTACTCATCAATAAGTTTCGATCGCACATAAACCGTGCCTGGAAAGACCCTTGTCACTGAGTAAATTTGTTATTTTAGTTCCATTCTTCTACCCCTCTGTGTGTCACTCACTGATTCCTTCCGTAACACTACTCGCACCTTACTATATATTTAGTTGTTTTGTTTGGCGGGGAGGCAGGGATTGAACTCGGGTCCTTGAGCTTGCAAGGCAGGCCACTCTCAACGGCGGAGCTAAATCCGCGGCCCCTTAGTTATATTATTATTTTGACACAGGGGTTTAGTAATTTGGCCAAGGTGGCATGAACTTGCCCTCCTAGTAGGTCAGCCTCCAGAGTAGCTGTGGTTACAATTCCGTGACACCGGAACCTGTAACGTTATTGTTTGTGAAAGTTGAAGGACGTAACACAAGGTTGGTCTGCACTGTTGGGCTCTGATGTGACACTCAGTGGCTCCCCACAGCCCATCCCCACCTGGAACAGAGAAGCTAAAGCTTGTTCTCACCTGAGCTGGTGCCCTGGGTGTCCGATCTTCGCTGCCTTTGTGCGTGTCAGGGCTCGCTTATCCCTGTGGATCTTTTAAACGGTGATGACCACTACAGTAACAACACTCTAGTTGTTTTTTCATCATCTGTCTTTCTGCACGCTGGTTTTTAAATTTTCATTTGATGCCAACAGACACACCCGCACAGTTGGGCTGAGGCCTCATTGTCTTGGCAACCAGAAGTGTCCCGAGCAACCGATGACACCAGGATATGACGCGACAATCTCGCGCTCCCAAGCGGTACCGCCTGGTGCCGGCCTCGGCTTGCCATTGGTCAGTTGGAAGGAGGCGGAAGGCTTCGGCCAATGGGAGGCGGCGCGCTCAGGAAACCGGCTGCATGGCTTGCACTTGCAGTGTGCATCTCGCGCTGGGAATCCTACAGAGTCAGCGCCCCCTGTCGCGCGCGCATTGAGCACAGGTGTGTGAAGATAGGTGCGGGGTGCCTCTGCTCGCGCCTGGAGGATCGGAGCCTTTCTGGAGACCAGGACAGGGCTGCGCCGCGCGGGCAGGCAACTCCTACCTGTCCACTTTGGTGCGTTGGGGGACTTGCTGGGAAGTCGCGGGTGGCTCAAGGAGCGCGAGAGTCAGCGCATTCCATGACAGGTGTGTGCAGAGGACCTGAAGACGCCCGGACTCCATGTGGCCAAGGGCCCCGCCCTCCCTCAAGCTCTGCTTTCTGTCTTTCTCTGCATTTCGGATTGGCGTCGCAGGTCGGGTTTCCCGCACAGGATTTTCAGGGCTTGCTTTGTATGGTAAGATTGCTCTGCGCGTCCTTTCACTTGGGCTTTCGTGCTTTCATTCAGAAACCCCCCTTGGCTCCTGTTGTGAGTGGGCATTGTTCTGGTAGCAGTGAACAATCTAGGAGACACACCTGGGATCTACTGGTCTGCATTCTAGAGCAGACAGGCAGATGTTAAGATCACACAGCGCGTGAAGAGCCTTGGAGAAATCCAAGACGGGGACCAACTGTAGGGAGGCGCTGCAGGTGAGGGAGTGAGACCCCTTGGGAGCTACAACATCCAGGGAGCAAACAGATGCTGGGGCCCCACCCACAAGGAGCCCAGTGTGGGTTGGTTAAGAAAAGGACAAGAGAATTGTGGGGGATGACCAGGAGCTGTGGTTGTGACGTGAGAGGTCTGAGGCGATGTGTGAGAGACACGTCAGTGTAGCTGTACCTGTGGGTGCTTTAGGGAGCATGTGAAAAGCCTGAATGGAGAAGGCTGGAGGCCATCACCATCTACCTGGTCTTTACAGGCGCATGGTTTAAAGTGCCCGTATCCCTGAAGCGCCTGTACACTCTCCAAGGGCAGCCATCAAAGAGGATGGATTTGTAATGTCACCTGGTGGGGAACTCGGTTTACAGTGTAGCTAAACACAAAATCATCACACTGTACACTTTGAATGCACACAGTGTTTATTTGTAAGGTACACCAGCCAAAGCGCTGTGAGGGCTGACCTCAAACTGAAAATCCTCCTGCCTCAGCCTCTTAAGTGCTGGCATTAGAGATGTGTACCATGACACCCAGCTCAAACTTTCTCACATGATCCTGTAAAAATTAAAGATTGCACACCTGACCTTGGGTTCAATTTTCTATCCTCATATTTAACTGGAATTTTTTAATGTATTACTTGAGCTTTTTGCTGAAAAGTTCCAATAGCTTGGTATTTTTCCTTAGTCACTTGCTCAAGACATTTAGGTAGTTTAGAAAGGCCTCAGGTAGGGATAGAAAAGGCTGCTCCTCCTTTATACTGGGGAAATAAGTCTTACTGTCTTTTGAACCCAGAAATTCCTGAGCATTTGAAAGAATGTGTCTCTGAGAGGTTAGGGTCCCACCCTGCCTCTCCACCTGCCTGCTCTACCATGTGACCCTTGTGGATGGCTCCCCTGGCCTGAGGAGTCTGTGAACAAACTGGTGCATTGTGCTCTGTGACCCTTATGGATCCCACTTTTTCTGAGGGCTGGACATTGTGTGGTCTCCCAATTGCTCCTGCTCTTCGTGACTGGGTCACACATTGTGCCAAGCTGCTGTCTACAAGTACACACTCCTTCTGTCGGTGCCCCACACCCTTCGGAAGACCTAACACTGGCTTTGCTTTTTCTTCTATGTTGAGAAGGTGGCACCAGCTTAATTGGAATTAGTGCATCTTTAGTAAACATGCCTGACCCTCCTTCCTAGCAATCGCCAGTGGGAAGAATTGGAGCTGGGGAACCGACTGCATGGCACGCTTCACTGCTCCCAGTGGGGAAGGAGGCCCAAGGGCAAGGGAAGCCCAACTGCATATTAATTTTCTTTTTTTTTTAAATGAGTTTATTGGTGCATTTTAGGTATACAGTACAGTTACATTCATCATTTGGATCTTGTACCTTTACATGACAGGTCTTGGTTCTCATTTTTTCCCCTTGTTCCTGCCCTCCGTTCACTCCCTCCTCCCCTCCCAATTAACATACACTTTATTTCAATTTTTCATTTTCTCATTTTTTCATTTCCCTCATTACCTTTCTCCCATCCTTCCCACTTTCCCTGCACCTTTACCCTATTCTTCCTATTTCTCATTGTCAATTATCTCATTAGGATGCATTTCAAATTTCGATAGTGTGGGGAACCCTGTTTAGCCTTCCCGACTTACATGTACTTTTCAATAAAGGCATCAGTTTTGAGCCTCCATTCTGCAGAGATAGTTTTGAGTCTCTTTGTGTGGAGTGAGTGGTAGGGAAGGTGCATGAGCCAAATGTTACTCAAACTTTAGAGATAAATGCATTTTCAGGCACTTGATGTCTGAAGTCTCAGGAAGATCTCCCTACATCAAACACAGCCATTCCCTGCCTCAGTCCTTTCCTGTTTTCCTAGCTAAGCTATGGCTGGCACATCCAGCTCGTGTCTGCACTGGCCCCAGAACCACGCTTGTGTTCCACATTTAGGTTCTGTAAACAGCCTACTTGCCCTCTGGGTATGTGGCCTGCAGTATGGAGCCCTTTCACAAGACGTCACCTAAAGGCCTTTGCTGGCATCAGGAGGGTTGGCAGTGTCCTGGGCAGCAGCCCATCATTCCTGCCAGGCTGTGCAGGATGGTAGTGAACAAAGGGCTCTTTTCACTAACCTTCCAAATTCACTCCATTCAATTAGCCTAGTTCAGACTTCAAAGATATGCTCTGAAATGGTTCAGTGGCTGAAATGGTCTCTCGGGAGTTTCTTCCATTTAAGCTCCAGAGTTAGGATCTCTGACCTTTTCTCAGCATTGCTGTGCATTAACTCAGTGACTGGAAAGCTGGTCTCACTCTGGTCCTGAGTTGACTTTGCCCAAATGAGTATGGATTTCCTTTATTTGTCTCTAGTGATATAAAATGCAAAAATGCCTTGTTACACAGGGCAGTATAGCAGTCAGGGCTTAGACTGTGACATGAGCTAAAGTTTGTTCACAGAGGTTGTTTGCTGTCTGCATAAACAGTTTCTTTGTTTATGCTGTCCTTTCCCATGTCCCTACTGATGGCCAGGACAGGAGGGGCTCTGCCAACATCCACCTTGGTGAGGTTTCTCCAGCCAGTTAGAGGGTGACCTGGCAGAGGTGCCCCACGTGCCTGACCTGTCAGCCCTGGGGTCTCGTTTCGTACCCATTTTGATAGGGCTGTCCACATACCATAGGTAGCTGGGGCTGGGGGAGCGTTGCTCACTTCCATGTTGTAGGGAGTCCAGTCCATGTGATAATGGTGAGGGCCTCCGCTCACATCCATGTTGTAGAAGGCTGCAGACACGACTGCTCTGAGGATAGGGTGGAGTGTACTGAAATCACAGATGGGGCTCCACACACGGGATGGTTAAACTCAGTGAGTGGAGGTCTCTGCTCCTCTCTGCAGTGTAGAGCACTCCACACACGCCTGTGATGTCAGGATGTAGGGGGCTCTACTCACTCATATATTTTAGAGGCACTCACACACCCCTGAGATGGCCCAGATATAGGAGCTCTGAACACATCCATATATATCAACATGTGGATGGTCCCTCTCGCACACCTGAGATGGTCAGGACCTAGGGCAGCACCACTGTGCTCACATCCACATTGTAGAAGCCTTCGCACACACTTAGAGGGCTCAGAATGTGAGGATGGGTCATTCTGAGTGTAGTGACTTTCTCGAGGGTTCCACATACCTGAGCCAGTGAAGGCTTGAGGCGTCTGCCTATGTCCACATATTACTGGACACCACACACACTGATGGTCAGGACTGGCCACTGTAGACATCCTCACTGTAGAGCACTTCTCACACACCTGAGATAGTGGGGGTATGGCGTGGGGCCTCTGCTCCCACCCCCAATTAACGAGCAGCACACATAACTGACGTGATCAGACATCGGGGACCGGATCAGCTCCTACTTGAGTTGGAGGGAACTCCATGTGGCGTGGCTTCAGTGGCTGGGATGTGACCAACAGGACCAGAACGTGGTGGTAGGCGGGGCTCTACTCACATCCTCCTAGTGAAGGGCTCCACACGTTATATAGGGGCCTGGCCCTACAAAGCTCTGCTCGCCCATCCATTGGAGAGGGCTCCACAGATACACACACACACACACACACACACACACACACACACACCTCAGAAAGAGTGGGGCAGTTCTTTCCCATCTACACTGTAGACAGCTCCACATATAGCTGGAGATGGTCTGAACATGGGAGGTGCTGTGCATGTCCAGGTCAGGGAGGTCTCCCACATATCATGTATATTCGGCATGTGTGGGGGCCTTAGGCAGCTTGGGGAAGGCTAAGACCACTTGGATGCTTGGATGGGGCATGGCGGTGTCTGCTCACATCTCACTGTACAGCTCTTCACCTGAGAGGGTCAGGACATGGGGGCGACTTTGCTCACCTCCATGTGTATTAGGACCCCCATCCCATGAAGATGGTCACGATATTAAGGGATCTTCCATATCCATGCTGTGGAGGTCTCTGCTCTTTTCTGAAATGTACAGGATACTGGGGGATCTACTCCATCCATGTAGAAGTGTGTGCCACCTCCTGGATGTGCTCTGCTTACAACCTCATTACAGAGGGCTCCATGATCCCCTTCTGGTCAAAACAGCAGGGCAATACTCAATTCCTTGTTTCAAGAAGGCTTGACAACCTGCTGAGGTGGTCAGGAAATAGACAGCTCTGATAACTTCCTCCTTGGAACAGAGACCTCCAGAGAACCAAGTTGGTCTTGTTAGCTAGTTCGGCTGCCATCCAAGTCGTGAAGGACTCCACACATTCCCGTAAGTAGGGACATGGAGAGGCTTGGGTCACGTTCTCATTGTATAGGGCTCCACCAATGTCTGAGGTCTTCATGACATGGACAAGTGTCCCTGCCTATATCACTCCTTCGTGATGTAGTCAGACACAGGGAGCATGTTCACAGTATTTTAGTGTTTCCAACAAGATGAACAGACAGTTGGTTTATCGATTACACTGTCCAAGTCACTACACATGTGATGAAGACATGGGGAGTGTTTAGGTTAAGTTTCCATTCTACAGGATTCCCTAAATGACTGGTTGTGATGACAGGTCAGGGAATGGGGCTAGCTCCACTCACAGTTATATATGGAGGGTCCATACACAGCCTGTTAGCAAGGAAATAGGAACCTCAGTGATAAACACATTGTACAGGGGTCACTGTGCTGCTAGAAGTGGATAGAGGGGGAGCTTGTTCATGCCCATTTTGAAGAGGACTCAACTTACGCCCGAGAATTTCTGTATATGAGGATATCAACTCCCATGATCATGGGCAGGACACAACAGGCCTGAGATGGTGGAGATCTGGCCATGTGGCCATTGTGAAGGCCTGGTCTACAGGAGAGAGTGGGGCTTCCCTCTCGACTACATTGTACCAGGCACCACTTGTGCCTCAGATGGTTTGTAGAGGGACCACACATGCTCTGATTGGCAGGACATGGAGGGCCACTCTTCACATCATGTTGCTCAGATCTTCACAAATGCCTGAGTGTGTCGGGACATGTGGGTGGTGGCTCTGCTCACCTATACGTTGAGCATCCTCCCATGTCCCTAAGTAGTCAGGTGTCCAGATGTGTATGGGGACTTCTGTCCACAATCACATAGTAGATTCCTCCACACAAAACTGACATGGTCTGCAGGTTCGGAGCTTTTGCTGTATGCAGGTTGAAGATGGCTCCACACAGAAACATGAGCTGGTGGGGACATGGAGAGGGGTGGTTACCAAAGTAACATTATAGAGGGTGACAAACACCTGAGGGTATGAGGATGTGGTGGGACATCTCTCACAGCCCATTGTAGAGGGGTCTACTGGACTTGTAGAGTTTCAGGATTTGGTGCTTTTGCTTCTATTAGGCCAGGAGATAGCTTAGAAATCACAAAAGTTCGCAAGTGTATTCACATCCTTATTGTATAAAGATCTGTACTTTGAAAGGGATCACCATGTTTTTTGTTTGGTTTTTGAGGCAGGGTATCATTATGTAGTTGAGATCAATCTGGAACTCACTATGTAGCCCAGACTGGTCACAAACTCATAGCTATCCTCCTGCCTTATCCTCTGAGTGCTGGGATTACAGGCATGTGGCACCATGCCCACCACCACACTTTGAAGCTCCACAGCTGTCTGACGTTGTCCGCACACAAGAAGTCACTGCCCACACAGAGTGTTGTACAGGGCTCCACACGTGCCTGAGTTGGTGGGCGTTTGTGGGGGGGGGAGTACTGTACCATGCCCTTGTAAAGGGTTCCACACATGCCTGAGGCACTGAGCAAATGGGCTGCTCTGTTCATATTCCATGTGAAGAGGGCTCCATATGCATGAGATGAGCACAACACTAGGATGGCTCTGCTCACATCCACACCTACATGAGAAGGTCAGGGATTGGTGGGCCTCTTTTCACACCAAAACCTGTAGAGGGCTCCATGCATGATGCAGATGTCCAGGGTGTGTGGGGACTGTTGACCTTGTATCAGGACCACACATACACGTGCCTGTCATTGTGTTGAAGGGCTATACTCACATTCATGTTGTCAGGGCACCACCAATGCCTGAGGTTGTAAGGACATGGGGGAGGCTCTGCTCACGATCAGTGTGCAGAGTACCACATATGCCTGAGCTGGTTAGGACAGCAAGACGCCCTGGTTACGTCCACATGATAGGAGGTGCTTGCTCATGTACAATGCATAAGACAAAGGTAGGGTTCGAGTCATTTTTCACATCGTGTAGGGTTCTGTATATGCTTATATAGTCAGGATATTGGGGGGGTATTGCAGATTCTACTTATAGTCATGGTGTACAGGGCTCTGTGCATGGTCTTGGTGATCACTGCCTCAGGAGCTGTAGGGACATCTACATCCTACAAGGCTAAACGCAGGTCTGAGGACGTCAGGACATAGACTTGGGTTCCTGTTCACATACACATTTTATAGGGAGCCACCCTCCAGACAGGATGAGAACACGGGGACTGGCTCCATGTTCTCTCTTTAGAGACCCACACACAGGAGAAGTAGTTAGGACCTGGGGCCTCTGATTCACAGCTGAATTATAAACGGTTGCACACAGGTAGAACATGCACAGGGATGACAGGTCAGGGGGATACAGCCAGCCTGCTCACTTTTAAATTAGAGAAGACCCCATAAACAGCTAGTTAGTGAGGTCATGGAATTCTCAGGCGACAAGCACACTGTACAAGCAGCATGATGAAATGAAAAGTAAATACATGGTGAGTTGTGTTCACGTCCGTGTTTTCCAGGAATCTGCTCATGCCTGAGGTTTTCTGTATATGAGGCTATCACCTCACATGCACATTGGACAGGATTCCACACAACTGAAATGTTAGAGATGTGGTGGGACCTTGCCATTCGGAAGTTATAGGGGCCTTGTGTAAAAGTCCCTGCAGCGATGAGGATAGGGTGGGGCTCCACTGTCATTCATATTGTGGGCAGCGCCAAATGGGCTCCATATGGTCAGTGCAAGGGCAGCAGGGGCCTGCTCATGACCTTGTTGTACAGGGCTCCAAACATGCCTGAGTGCATCCTAGTGTGTGGAGGAACCTACTCACATGTACATCATACAGAGCACCACTCCCCCCACCCACAGACACTCAGGATGTGGAGTGAAATTCCTGTCACATCTACCTTTTCCAGGTGTCCTCACTCACTGAGCAGATGAGATCCGGGGCTTTCCACTCACAGCCTGGGTGTACAGCGCTCCAAACTTGCCCGAGTTCCTGAGAACACGTGAGCACTGCTGACGTGGATATTCCTGATCTGGTCAGGACATGGGTTGGTGCTGCTCATGTCATCATTTCAGAGGTTTCTGTAGATGCCTTCAGTTGTCGTGACATGGAGACCCTGGGCCACATCCTCCTTGTGACCCTGGACTACACACATCTGTGAGGTCAGGAGAAAGGGGTTCTACTCACATCCATGTTGTAGACGATTCAGCACAGAATTCAGGTCTACAGGAGATGGAGTCTCTGATCACATCCTCCCATGGGGCCCTGCATGTGTCTGAGTTTATCCGGATGCAGGAGAGCACTGCTTACCTCTCGGTTAGTACAGAGCTGTATCCCTGCCTGAGATGGTGTGTGTGTGTGTGTGTGTGTGTGTGTGTGTGTGTGTGTGTGTGTGTCTGGGGGATAGGGAACAAGTGCACATAGTCACCTACACATCTGTGCATGGCTCCAATCACACCCATGTTGTAGAGGGTTAACACACTTCTGAGATGGTCAGAAGTAGGAGGAGCTCCTGTCCTGTCTGTGAGGTAAGGGGCTCTACATGTGACAGAGATGGAGCTGCCTAGGTTGCGCTCTCCTGCTGTAGAGGGACCACACATGCCCTGATGTGGAGGACATGGAGGGCTGCTCTTCATATCCATGTGGCTGAGGTCTTCACAACTCACTGACTGTGTCAGGACGTGTGTGTGTTGGCCCTGCTCACATCCACATTTCCAGGCTCCCCACGTTCTTCAGATGTATCAGCATATGTGGGGACCTGTGTCCACTCTGTCCCCTAGAGGATTCTTTGACATGAGCCTGAGGTGGTCTGCATATGGGGTGCCCTGTCCACATTGAGGTCTAAGTCGGCTCAACACAGATTCTTGATATAGCAGGGACATGAGGAGGGGCAACCATGGTGCTTACTGTGGAGTCTCTCGTATGGTGCTGGCCTGTCCCTAGGCTGACAGCTTCCAGCACTGTGTTGCCTTGGCTTTGCCCACCAACAAAATCCCAGCAGGGAGGTTTGTTCTTTCTAAGTTGAACCCACATCTGTCTTAACCTCACCACATCACATACCTGTGTCTAACAGTGGTCACTGATGCCTGGGAGTCTCATCTGAAGCAGTGCTTCCCATGCCAGTTCTCTCCTGGTGTTGTGCAGCTTCCTGAGGGGAGGATGACTTCAGTTCTGGCCACATGAGACACAGCATCAGGTGGCATCTAGGAGAAGGCACAGTTTCACCAGAGGTTTGAGGAGAAGCTTGCTGGAAGAGCACTAAGTGCACTAAACTTTGACACTTTTAAGTTTTGCTATGAGCAAGAAAACCAGCTTTTTTCAACCTGAGTGACACATATGCCTGGGAGGTTCTCAGGAGGATGTTGCAGATTTTGCAAGAGTCAGGCTTGAGAGACAGTTGTTCAATTCTTACTGAAACAGCTTTAGTGTGATGGGGGTGTATGTCCCAGGCAGAGCACTTGCCCCAGATACACGAGGTTCTGGCTGCCATTCCAGAAGGCTTCCATGGCAAAGTGTTGATGGAATAGACCATGCTGAAGGCCTTTCTGTGTAGACAGCCAGTCTGAACCCCTGCATGCAGCAGAGTGATCCCCCTTCAGTGGTTGAACATGGGGTATACTTCATATTCTTTTTTAATTTCTAAGGCACCCTAATAAACCTGCATAATAAACCTAATCACACTGACACATCCTAAAATTCTTTCTCTGTGAAATGGTCCAAGAACCTGCTTGGAGGTCCCTGTGGAGGTATCACTCACCTGCTGGGGGCAGGGACCTCCTCACATCCCATCCTGGGACACTTATCTGTCTGGTTGTTGTCTCTCCTTCCTGAGCAGTCTACCAAAATGCTCTGGGCCCATCTTGTGCTTCCTAACACAGAACTGCACGGTTTCTCCAAGGAACCTGGTTCTATTGGAAGGCGGTGATACCTTAAAATGCATTTCCGGTGCAGGAATATTCAGGGATACTGGGATGGCCTTGCATCTAGGCACTGTCAGCACTCCCAAAAAGAGAAGTGCAAAAAATGTTGTTTTTCTATACTCACCCAAAGAGATAGGTTTGTGACCCTTCAGCAGATAAGGTGGGCACCCACTGCTGCCTTGACAGCATGCACAAGGTGAGTAGGAGGTAGGTGGGGTGGTGGACTTGAGGGTAGAGTTATCAGAGCAGCCCCAGCTGATAGTTCCCAGGGCTCAAAGCCTGCCTTTCCCTCGAGCATTCTGGGATCGTACTCAGGGAGACACAGCATGGCTGAGAAGGCCAGGAGCAGCCGTGCCCTGCTGTCCTTGGCTCAGGGTACAGAGCCAGGTGGAGATGGGGATACTGCAGGGATACTGCAGAGCTGACAGCTGGCTGCTGGGTCTCTGAATCATGGATTCAGCACCACTGAGGTCGACAGGGCAGGAGAAGTCACTGAGATGGCTATTGATTACCTGGAGTCAGAAATTGAGGAAAACACCTCCGTTGGAATGTGGGACATTCTCCCTAAAACAGTGTCAGGATGTGTGGCACCACACGGAACACAATACTGAGGGCAAGTCTGTCACCATCTGAGCGTCAGGCCCTGACTATTGCCATTGTGCCTATGCTTTCTTTTCAGATAGGGGCACAGCCTTTGTCATCTTCTCTGTCCACATCAAGAAAGAGAATTGAAAGCCATGTGTACTCACAAGGGAGGGACATTGGGTCACATTTACTGCTTTGCCTAGTGTTAACTCCAGTTCCCAGTTACGGTCTCAACGTGGACAGTAGCCAAATGGTCTCTGTCTAACAGGAAACCGGGAGTCTTGACAGTCCAGGGAACAGCCATAGTGATGAGAGGATCCTAATTCCACCTTGTGCAGAGGTAATACACAGCAGTCTGGGTGCCCTGGAGGACATGTGTGTTTCAGAGAGGAGAAAGTGAACACAGCATTCAGCCACAGGACTGAAGCCTTCTGTTTCCGCTGACATGTGCATGACAGAACACCTCTTTGTCCAAGTTTGGGGACACTCCGCCCTGGAGAAAGGCAGCCTGTCATGTGTTCCCTGTGGATGACCTCTTCCTGGTGACCCCTCATCCAGTGTGAGCTGACCTTGTGAACAGAACACAGCAGAAAGGATGTGAAGTCACTTGTGAGAGGCAATAGAAAAGAGGCTGTACTCGTGTGTTCTGTGTACCCCTTGTGCTCACTCACAAGGATTCCACCTGCCATGTCCTAAGCTCCCCTGTGGAGAGCCCCTTGCTAACCTGGCAGTAGGGACCGGAGCCCTCACTCCAGTGCCCTTGAGGAATGAGTCCTCCCAGTACCCACGTGAGTGAGCTTGGGAGTGCTCACCCCTAAAAAGCCTTCAGATGTCACCATGGCTGTGGTAACATTCTCGTAGTGGTGGAGCATGTGACACGCAGAGAGATAGAGGAATAGAGGTCAGCCTTCCCCACAGTCCTGAACCGAGAGTGAGCAAAAGTAATGTCCTGGGTTGTTAAAGTTTGGTTTCCTTTGCATCGCAGAAATGAAACACAAGTAAAGTGTTCTTCAACTAAGGAGGTGGGTTGCCTCCCTTGGTTGAGGCCTGTGGATTTGGAGTCACCTATGTCATCTTCTATATGACCACCAATTTATTGGGTATCTTGGAAATCTAATTGGTTGGGTGATTGCAGTACTTGGGATTGACCCCAGGGGGCGATGGATTGCACCTCCCCAGATAAGAGTTCTTGCTGAGTTTTCTACCCTGGCCTTTAATTTGCCATCCTCCTTTCTCAGCTCGCATTGACAGTTATGCATAACCACATCTAGGTGATTTTGAGTTTTGAGGCAGGCACACAGCAAGAGAAAGCTCTGTAGCACGTTAAAACTGAAATGTGGGCTGTCTTGACCTTTGAAGACCCAAGGTGCGAGAGAGGTATATAGCAAACACCAAGAGACCCCAAGCTCTGGAGGGAATCCAGGTCTTCCGCTGTGCAGGATCACCCACCAAGCAAGGAGAGCCGTGTGGTGCTGGCTCTGGAGAGACTGAGACCCTAAACATTGGATCTCCTATGACAGGTGACTGGAGCTGCCCTACATCATCCATGATGTCATAGTGTTTCAGTGTTTAGCAACACACTGTGCAATGAAAACCTAAATTATTTTTTCTTGACTTTTGACAGTCTTGTCTTCAGCAAGTGCGATGGTCCATAGCCATATTTTTTGTGCTTGAGAGGCTGAGGCAGGAGGATATTAAATTTGAAGCCAGTCTAGGCTACATAGTGAGTTCACAGCCCACATGGACTCCACAGTAAGACTTTTTTTCTCAAAAATAGTGTTGTCTTCTTAGGTACATAGCCACTTTCTGTGGACTGCTGAATATAATCCATAAGCACTTAAAATTGGGAGCCTGGGATATCACCTTCTAGAGCTTGCCTTTCTTCTCCCAGCTGGCTACTGTTGCCACTAATACATTCTGACTCATACAAATGGAATTTCAGAGACTGAAATGAATTTCATGAAGGTCCACAGTGTCAAGTCTACTTCAGGTTAAATTGACCTATACTTGTATGCCTTCCCCAGTCCAAAGCCAAGTATAAGACCCATTCTGCAGCCCACTGACCCCAAACCATCTAGAATCCCTGTCCTTGACTTCACCTTCTCAGCTGGCACTTCCAGAACCCACTGATCCTGGAGTGAAAAATGACCCTGCGTGTCAGGCTAATATTCCTGGTCTTCTTTTCCTTGGGGGTATGGCAATGTGATATTTTACATCTAAAGCACCACTCTTATTCCTTACACCAGATCTCGTTTGTCTTTCTTTTCTTTCTTTCCCACAGGAGGAATGAGCCCAGAATTATTTCCTTTTCCAGTACTGAGCATGGAACTGAGGGCCTCACACATGCCAGGATGAGCTAGCTACAACCCTAGTACTGTTACGGAACAAATCAGTGAGTGACACACAGAGAGGCAGGGGAATGGAAGTAAAGTAACAAATGTACTCGTCAATAAGGGTCGTTCCAGGCACGGCTTCTGTGTGATGGACCCTTATCTATAAATAAATTTGTTATTTTAGTTCCATCCCGCTGCCTCTCTGTATGTCACTTACTGAGTCCTTCTGTAACACTACTTGCACCTTACTCTATATTTAGTTGTGTTATTATTTTGACACAGGCCTTTAGTAAGTTGGTCAAGGTGGCATGAACTTGCCTTCCTACTAGGTCATCCTCCAGAGTAGCTGTGGTTACAGTCCCGTGACACCGGAACCGGTAACGTTATTGTTTGTGAAAGTGGAAGGACATAAGACAAGGTTGGTCTGCACTGTCAGGCTATGATGTGACACTCAGTGGCTCCCCACAGCCCATCCCCACCTGGAACAGAGAAGCTAAGGCTTGTTCTCACCTGAGCTGGTGCCCTGGGTGTCCGATCTTCACTGCCTTTGTGCGTGTCAAGGCACGGTTATCGCTGAGGATCTTTTAAACGGTGATGAGCAGTACAGTAACAAACACTTCACTCTAGTTTTTGTTGTTGTTTATTCCTCTGTCTTTCTGCACACTGGTTTTTCCATTTTCATTTGATGCCGAGACACACCAATTAGTCGGCCTGAGCCCTGGTTGTCTTGGCAGCCCGAAGCGTCCCTAGCAACCAATGACACCAGGACGTGACGTCACAATCTCGCGCTCAGAACGGCTACCTGCTGCGTGCGCCCTAGTCTTTCCATTGGTCAGGTGGAAGGAGGCGGAAGGCTTCGGCCAATGGGAGGCGGCCCGCTCTCGAAACTCGCAGCAGGTGTTGCATTTACACTGTGTCTTTCCCCTAGGGAGTCCTACAGAGTCTGGGACCTCAGTCGCGCGCATTGAGCACAGGTGTGTGAAGATAGGGGCGGGGTGCCTCTGCTCGCGCCTGGAGGATCGGGGCCGTTCAGGAGACCAGGACTGGGCTGCGCCGCGCGTGCAGGCAACTCCTACCTGTGCACTTTGGTGCGCTGGGGGACTTGCTGGGGAGGCGCGGGCGGCTGAAGGAGCGAGAGAGTCAGCGCATTCCTTGACAAGTGTGTTCTGAGGACCTGAAGACTCCCGGACTCCAGGTGCCCAACCGCACCGCCCTCCCTCAAGCTCTGCTTTCTGACTTTCTCTGCAGTTCAGATTGGCGTCGCAGGTCTGCTTACCCGCTAAGGATTTTCAGTGCTTGCTTTCTATGGTAAGATTGCTCTGCGCGTCCTTTCACTTGGGCGTTCATCCTTTCATTCAGAAACACGCCCTTGGCCCCTGTTGTGAGTGGGCATTGTTCTGATAGCAGTGAACAATCTAGGAGACACACCTGGGATCTACTGGTCTGCATTCTAGAGCAGACAGGCAGATGTTAAGATCACACAGCGCGTGAGAAGAGCCTTGGAGAAATCCAAGATGGGGACCAACTGTAGGGAGGCGCTGCATGTGAGGGAGTGATGCCCCTTGGGAGCTACAACGTCCAGGGAGCAAACAGATGCTGGGGCCCCACCCACAAGGAGCCCAGTGTGGGTGGGCTAAGAAAAGGACAACAAGAGAATTGTGGGGGATGACCAGGAACTGTGGTTGTGATGAGAGAGGTCTGAGGTGATGTGTGAGAGACACGTCAGTGTAGCTGTACCTGTGGGTGCTTTAGAGAGCATGTGAGAAGAAGGCGGGAGGCCATCAGCATCTAGCTGGGCTTTACAGGCGCATGGTTTAAAGTGCCCATATCCCTCAAGTGCAGCAGTCAGGGCATCTCCAAGGGCAGCCATCAGGGATGATGGATATGTTAAGTCACCTGATGGGGAACTCGGTTTACAGTGTAGCTAAACACAAAATCATCACACTGTACACCTGGAATGCACACTGTGTTTATTTGTAAGGTACACCAGCCAAAGCGCTGTGAGGGCTGACCTCAAAGTGAAAATCCTCCTGCCTCAAGCTCTTAAGGGCTGGGATTAGAGATGTGTACCATGCCACCCAGCTCAAATATTCTCACATGATCTTGTAAAACTTCAAGATTGCACACCTGACCTTGGGTTCAATTTTCCATCCTCATATTTAACTGGAACTTCTTAATGTGTTACTTGAGCTGTTTGCTGAGAAGTTCCAATAGCTTGGTATGTTTCCTTAGTCACTCGCACAAGATATTTAGGTAGTTCAGGAAGGCCTCAGATAGGGACAAAAGAAGTCTGCATATCATTTATAGCCAGGGAAAAAAATCTTAGTGTCTCTTGAACCCAGAAATCCTGAGCATTTGTAAGAATGTGTCTCTGAGAGGTCAGGGTCCCACCCTGCCTCTCCACTACCTGCTCTGCCATGTGACCCTTGTAGAAGGCTGCTCTGGCCTGAGGAGTCTATGAACAAACTGGTGCATTGTGCTCTGTGACCCTTATGGATCCCACTTTTTCTGAGGGCTGGACATTCTGTGGTCTCCCAATTGCTCCTGGTCTACGTGACTGGGGCACACATTGTGCCCAGCTGCTGTCTACAAGTACACACTCCTTCTGTCCGTGCCCCATACCCTTGGGAGCACCTAACACTGACTTTGCTTTTTCTTCTATGTTGAGAAGGTGGCACCAGCTTAATTGCAATTAGTGCATCTTTAGTAAACATGCCTGACCCTCCTTCCTAGCAATCGCCAGTGGGAAGAATTGGAGCTGGGGAACCGACTGCATGGCAGGCTTCACTGCTCCCAGTGGGGAAGGAGGCCCAAGGGTAAGGGAAGCCCAACTGCATTTTAAATTTCATTTTTTTAAATGAGTTTATTGGTGCATTGTAGGTATACAGTACAGTTACATTCATCATTTGGATCTTGTACCTTTACATGACAGGTCTTGGTTCTCATTTTTTCCCCTTGTTCCTGCCCTCCGTTCACTCCCTCCTCCCCTCCCATTAACCAACTCTTTATTTGCATTTTTCATTTTCCCTTATTTCCTTTCCCCCATCCTTCCCACTTTCCCTATACCTTTACCCTTTTCTTCCCATTTCTCGTTGTCAATTATCTCATCTGGATGCATTTCAAATTTCGATACTGTGGGGAATCCTGTTTAGCCTTCCCAACTTACATGTGCTTTTCAGTAAAGGCAGCAGTTTCGACCCTGTCCTGCTCAGGGTAGGGAGGCTTTGCCATACGAAGTTGCCCCAGTGTTTCACTGCAGATGTCTGAGTGGCACTTGGTGGTGCCAGTCCACCAAATCTGGAGTTGCCAGATTTAGATTCAACCAGGCCTATTCCCGCAGGGAGTCACCTTGAGTAGGTAGCTTTCCCGCATTTGTACCTGCCTGTTTTACCAGTGACATGCATTGTGACCGGTTGGATAGACCCACTTGTCCTGTGAGTCTTCTAGTGATCCTCTCCACCACAGGCTCTGTGTGCCCCACAGAGCTGTGCTGTTGGGGTGACTCGGGGGTCACCCACACAGTAAGTTCCAGGGTCTCACTGCACTCCTGCCTCTGAGTGTGGTTGTGCTCTTCTGAATGGCACCAGTTTGAGGTTGTAGACTTCCATTCTGCAGAGATAGTTTTGAGTCTGTGTGTGGAGTGAGTGGTAGGGAAGGTGCATGAGCCAAATGTTACTCAAACTTTAGATATAAATGCATTTTGAGGCACTTGATGTCTGAAGTCTCAGGAAGAGCTCCCTACAGCAAACACAGCCACACCCTGCCTCAGTCCTTTCCTGTTTTTCTAGCTAAGCTATGGCTGGCACATCCAGCTCGTGTCTGCACTGGCCCAGAACCACGCTTGTGTTCCACGTTCAGATTCTGTAAACAGCCTACTTGCCCTCTGAGTATGTGGGCTGCAGTATGGATCCCTTTCACAAGACGTCACCTAAAGGCCTTTGCTGGCATCAGAGGGTTGGCAGTGTTCTGGGCAACAGCCCAGCAGTCCTGCCAGGCTGTGCAGGATGGCAGTGAACAAAGGGCTCTTTTCAGGTAACCTTCCAAATTCACTCCGTACTCTTAGCCTATTTCAGACTTGAAAGATATGTTCTGAAATGGTTCAGTGGCTGAAATGTTCTCTCAGGCATTTCATCCATTTAAGCTCCACAGTCAGGACCTCGGACCGTTTCTCAGCATTGCTGTGCGTTACCTGAGTGACTGGAAAGCTGGTCTCACTCTGGTCCTGAGTTGACTTTGCCCAGATGAGTATGGATTTCCTTTATTTGTCTCTAGTGATATAAAAATGCAAAAATGCCTTGTTAAACACGGCAGTATATCAGTCACTATTTAGACTGTGACATGAGCTAAATTTTGTTCACAGATTGTTTGCTGTCTGCATAAACATTTCATTTGTTTATGCTGTCCTTTCCCATATCCGCACTGATGGCCAGGACAGGAGGGGCTCTGCCAACATCCACCTTGATGAGGTTTCCCCAACCAGTTAGGTGACATGGCAGAGGTGCCCCACGTGCCTGACCTGTCAGCCCTGGGGTCTCGTTTCGTACCCATTTTGATAGGGCTGTCCACATGACTTAGGCAGCTGGGGCTTGGGGAGCGTTGCTCACTTCCATGTTGTAGGGAGTCCAGTCCATATGATGATGGTCAGGGCCTCCGCTCACATCCATGTTTTAGAAGGCTGCAGACACGACTGCTCTTGAGGATTGGGTGGAGTATACTGAAATCACAGATGGGGCTCCACACACGGGATTTTTAAACTCAGTGAGTGGAGGTCTCTGCTCCTCTCTGCAGTGTAGAGCATGCCACACATGCCTGTGATGTCAGGATGTAGGGGGGCTCTACTCACTCATATATTTTAGAGGCACTCACACACCCCTGAGATGGCCCGGATATAGGAGCTCTGAACACATCCATATACATCAACATGTGCATTGTCCCTCACGCACACCTGAGATGGTCAGGACCTAGGGCAGCACCACTGTGCTCACATCCACATTGTAGAAGCCTTCGCACATACTTAAAGACTCAGAATGTGAGGATGGGGCATTCTGAGTGTAGTGACTTTCTCAAGGGTTCCACACACTTGAGCCAGCCAAGGCGTGAGGCCTCTACCTATATCCACCTTTTGGCATGCACTACACACACTGATAGTCAGGACTGGCCACTGTAGACATTGTTACTGTACAGGGCTTCTCACACACCTGAGATAGTGGGAGCATGGCGTGGGGCCTCTGCTCCCATCCCCGATGTATGAGTGACACACATAACTGACGAGGTCAGACATCGGGGACGGGAGCTGCTCCTACTTGAGTTGGAGGGAACTCCATGTGGGGTGGATTGAATGGCTGGGATGTGACCAACAGGACAAGAATGTGGTGATAGGGGGGCTCCACTCACATCCTCCTAGTGGAGGGCTCCACACGTTATATAGGGGCCTAGCACTCCAAGGCTCTGCTGGCCTCTCCATTGTAGATGTCTGCACACATGCACCTCAGAAAGAGAGTGGGGTGGTTCTTTCCCATCTACACTGTAGACAGCTCCACATATAGCCTGAGATGGTCTCAACATGGAACGCGCTGTGCATGTCCAGGTTAGGGAGGGCTCTTACATACTATGTATATTTGGCATGTGTGGGGGCCTTGGGCAGGGTGGGGAAGGCTAAGACCACTTGGATGCTTGAATGGGGCACGGTGGTGTCTGCTCACATCTCACTGTACAGCTCTCCACCTGAGAGGGTCAGGACATGGGGGAGACTCTGCTCATCTCCTTGTTGTATAAGGACCCCCATCCCATGAAGACACTCAAGACATTAAGAGATCTTCCATTTCCATGCTGTGGAGGTCTCTGCTCTTTTCTGAAATGGACAGGATACTGGGGGTTGTACTGACGTCCACATAGAAGTGTGTGCCACCTGCTGGATGTGCTCTGCTCACAACCTCATTACAGAGGGCTCCACGTGCCCCATGTGGTCAAAACAGCGGGGCAATGCTCAGTTCCTTGTTTGAAGAAGGCTTGACGACCTGCTGAGGGGGTCAGGAAATAGACAGATCTGATAGCTTCCTCCTTGGAACACAGAGCTCCAAAGAAACCAGTTGGTCTTGTTAGCTAGTTCTGCTCACTTCAAAGTCATGCTGGGCTCCACCCATGCCCTTGAGTAGGGACATGGAGAGGCTTGTGTCTCGTTCTCATTGTATAGGGCTCCACCAATGCCTGAGGTCTTGAGGACATGGGCGAGTGTCCCTGCCTATATCACTCATTCGTGAGGTAGTTAGACAGGGGGTTTATATTCACAATATTGTAGTGTTTCCAGCAAGATGAATAGACAGTTGGTTTATCGATTATACTGTCCAATTCAGTACACATGTGATGAAGACATGGGGAATGTGCAGGTCAAGTTAACATTGTACAAGATTCCCCACATGACTGGTTGTGATGAGAGGTCAGGTAACAGGGCTAGCTCCACTCACAGTTATATATGGAGGGCCCATACACAGCTTGTTAGAAAGGAAATAGGAAACTCAGCGATAAACACATTGTACAGGGGTCACTATGTTGCTAGAAGTGGGTAGAGGGGGAGCTTGTTCATGCCCATTTTTAAGAGTACTCAATTCGTGCCGGAGAATTTCTGTATATGAGGATATCAACTCCCATGAATATGGGCACAATGCACAGGCCTGAGATGGTGGAGATCTGGCCATGTGGCCGTTGTCACGGTCGGGTCTATAGGAGAAAGTGGGGCTTCCCTCTTGGCCACGTTGTACCAGGCACCACTTGGGCCTCAAATGGTTTGTAGAGGGACCACACATGCTCTGATTGGCAGGACATGGAAGGCCGCTCTTCACATCGTGTTGCTCAGATCTTCACAAATGCCTGAGTGTGTCAGGACATGTGGGTGGTGGCTCTGCTCACCTATACGTTGAGCATCCTCCCATGTCCCTCAGTAGTCAGGTCCAGATGTGTATGGGGCTTCTGTCCACAATCACATAGTAGATTCCTCCACACACATCTGACATGGTCCCCAGGTTTGGAGCTTTGGCTGTATTCAGATTGAAGACAGCTCCACACAGACGCATGAGCTCGTGGAGACATGGTAACATTATAGCGGGTGGATAAACACCTCAGGGTATGAGGATGTGTGGGGACATTTCTCACAGCCCATTGTAGAGTGCACTACAGGACTTGTAGAGTTTCAGGATGTGGTGCTTTTGCTTCTATTAGGTGAGGAGACAGCTTAGAAATCACAGAAGTTGGCAAGTGTATTCACATCCTCATTATATAAAGCTGTGTACTTTGAAAAAGGATCACCATTGTTTTTGTTTGTTTTTTGAGACAGGGTCTCACTATGTAGTTGAGACCAATCTGGAACTCACTGTGTAGCCCAGGCTGGTCGAACTCACAGCCATCTTCCTGCCTCAGCCTCCAAGTGCTGGGATTACAGGGATGTGCCATTATGCCCAGCACCACATTTTGAAGCTCTACACCTGTCTGAGGTTTTCCGCACACAAGAAGTCACTGCCCACACAGAGTGTTGTACAGTTCTCCACACATGCCCGAGTTGGCGGGCGTTTGTTGGGGGGAGCACTGTACCATTCCCTTGTAGAGGGTTCCACACATGCCTGAGGCACTGAGCAAATGGGCTGCTCTATTCATATTCCATGTTGAAGAGCGCTCCACGTGCATGAGATGAGCACAACACCGGGATGGCTCTGCTCACATCCACAGCTATGTGAGAGGGTCAGGGAATGGTGGGCCTCTTCTCACACCCACCCTATAGAGGGCTCCATGCATGATGCAGGTGTCCAGGGCATGTGGGGTCTGCTGACCTTGTAGCAGGAAAACACATACCAGTGATTGTCAGTGTGTGGAAGGGCTGTGCTCACGTTCATGTTGTCAGGGCACCATCAATGCCTGATGTTGTCAGGACATGGGGAGGCTGTGCTCACCATCACAGTGTACAGGGTACTACATATGCCTGAGCTGGTCAGGACAGCAAGACGCCCTGGTTACGTCCACATGATAAGGGGTGCTTGCACATGTACAATGCTTAAGACAAGGTTAGGGTTCTGTTCTCTTTCACGTCGTGTAGGGTTCTGAATATGTCTGATATAGTCAGGACATGGTGGGGTATGGGAGGTTCTACTTACAGTCACATTGTACAGGGCTCTGTGAATGGTCTTGGTGGTTACCACCTGGGGAGCTCTAGGTACATCCACATCCTACAAGGCTAAACACAGGTCTGAGGACATCAGGACATAGGCTTGGATTCATGTTCATGTACACATTTTATAGGGACCCTCCAGATAGGATGAGGACACGGGGAATGATTCCTTGTTCTGTTTTTAGAGGCACACAACCAGGAGATGTGGTTAGGACCTGGGGCCTCTGATTCACAGCTGCATTATAAACAGTTGCACACATGTAGAACATGCACAGGTATGGCAGGTCAGGGGTATAAAGGCAGCCTGCTCACTTTTAAATTACAGAGGACCCCATATACAGCTAGTTAGTGAGCTCATCATAATCTCAGATGACAACCACACTGCACAAGGAGCATGATGAATTGAAAAGTAAATACATGGTTAGTTGTGTTCACATCCATTTTTTGCAGGAATCTGCTCATGCCTGAGGTTTTCTATATATGACTATCACCTCACATGCACATTGGACAGGATTCCACGCACTTGAAATGTTGGAGATGTAGTGGGATCTTGCCATTCGGCACTGACAGCAGCCTTGTATAAAAGTCCCTCCAGCGATAAGAACAGGGTGGGGCTCCACTCTCATTCATATCATTGAGCAGCGCCACATGGGCCTCAGATGGTCAGTGCAAGGGCAGCAGGGGCCTGCTCATGACCTTGTTGTACAGGGCTCCAAACATGCCTCAGTGTATCCTAGTGTATGGAGGACCCTACTTATATGTACATCATACAGAGCACCACTCCCCCCATCCCCAGACAATCAGGATATGGAGTGAGATTCCTGTCACATCTACATTTTCCAGGTGTCCTCACTCACTGAGCAGATGAGATCCGGGGCTTTCCACTCACAGCCTGGGTGTACAGCGCTCCAAACTTGCCCGAGCTCCTGAGAACACGTGAGCACTGCTGCCATGGATATTCCAGATCTGGTCAGGACCTGGGTTGGTGCTGCTCATGTCATCATTTCAGAGGTTTCTGTAGATGGCTTCAGTTGTCATGATATGGAGACCCTGGGCCACATCCTCCTTGTGTCCCTTGGCTACACACATCTGTGAAGATCATGAGAAAGTGGT